TAGTTAAGGAAATAAGATTAAAACGAATTGTATGTTTAATTTAGTCTTAAATGCCGTTTTTATTACAATATTCCTTAAATCTCTTATTCTAGATCCGAATAGGTTTAAACCGGGTAAAACCCGGATCCAAATGATTAAAAGCAAAAAAAAACCTGTAAAAATGTATATGTAGATATGAGTTTAATACCATTAAATTAATCAAAGATTTGTAATCATAATTGGAAACGAATAATGCAGTAAATGCGATTTAGTAATGTTGTAAAGAATATTCCATTTATGTAGAATGATTGTTGCGATTAGTTTCTAATTAGTTTTATTTTTGGGATTATAGTATCTCAAATTTTAAACTAATTTAGATTTTATTGTTTTGTTTACATAAATACGAAAATAATTTGTTCACCCACATCATAAAATATTACCAAAAAATATATATATATATATTACGTAATATTAAATAAAAGATTATATAACTAACTATTTTCATTTGATGGTGTAGACAAATTATTATTAATATTTATGTAATTTAATTACAAAAATAATTTAGAAAAATAACAAATATTAATTGTTATTTTGATTTTAAATTTATTGCAATTTAAATGGGGAATTGCCTATATTTAATCTGTTATTGTAAAAGAAAAATGACGTAGCTTATTGTTGGAGTATTTACACAAATTTATTAACATAATATATATATATATATATATATATATATATATATATATATATATATATACTGTTAAAAAATAAATACATTTTTCTTTATAATTTCATAATATATTTATTGTTAAAATCTGGACATTTATTATAAGCATAAATATGAAAAACGATTTTCCATTAAAATTGGCTATTTATTAGGGTCATTAATATGAAAGATTATTTACCATTAAAATAGGTAACTTTTTTGTAATTAAAGAAACATTAAACGGAATAAGTAGATGAATTAAAGACAACATGGCTTCATTTATCAGTTTGAAATTAAGACAACATCCCTAAAATTGCTTATCCAAGATCCGAACAGACTAAAACTGGGTCAACCCGGATCCAAAAGAATTAAAGCAAAAAAGTACTGTAAAAATGTATATGTAGATATCTTTTCTAAAAAAATGACCTCATCTCATTATCAAAATTTTTTGTTTCCCGTATTTGCTAATTTTTTTTTATTTTGTTTAAATAAATGAAAATTTATTCAATTAGCAAACCTTATGTACACTAAATGCAACATTTTGCTTAAGTTAACTGAAATTTTAAAATTATCAGAACAAAGAGAGAAGACAATTAGACTTTTCTTGATTAAAACCATATACGCAGCCCGTCAATTTGTTTTTTTGAGTTCATTTCCTTTATGGTCGAAAGCCTATTCCGAACAACGTGATCAACAGCTTGAAAGAGTAATGTCGGAGATGTGAGCTATTCACCATGCTTACGTCGAGTTCTAAACATATCTTATAACGATTTGAGTGGTACGACTGAACTACAATGATTCATGAACTCTCCAACTTGTTTTCTTTCTTTGGCTGTCAGTATATTAGTTTGTCTTTCTCGATATAAACTTGATATAATATTGATCAATACATTTTTCGCGTTTTAATTAGGATTGCCGTAATATTCTTCCATGTAAATCTTGCTTTCTCACTTTTCCTACTTGAATTTTTGGCTTCTTAAATTTTTGTTTTATCTAAAATCTTACGCCACTAGTTGAACCGATCAATAACCTGATAATCACTTAACTTGGTTTGACGTGATTAGGAATTTAACCAAATTTAATCTGATTTTGACTCCATTTTAGTCCTATTTTGACTCATTATTGGTGTTTCATTTGACGTTCAAGGAGCTAAATATTTTCTCAACAAATTGTTGATTTCAAATCTCATTACAGAAAAAATGGAGAAACCATTGCCTGAGTTAAATGAATTTGGTTTGCCTATGGAGAATTTTGTCGAAGAAAAATTAAAGAAGAGTATTTGATTTTTTTTGTTGTCTTGTTTTCTCTTTTATTTTCAGGGTGAAAATCGGGTTAAATTTGGTTAAATTCGGATTAACTCAAACCGAATTAAGTGGTTACTAGTTTATTGATCGGTTCAATTAGAGGTGTAGGATTTTATATTAAACAAATAGTTTGTGTAGTGTTTTAAAGAATCACACTTTTTGTAATATATTAAGAGGCCAAAAATTGTGAAAAATGAGAAATCAAGTTGTACAAGGAAAAATATTTCGACAACCTTTTTAATTAAGAATAAGATTTTTAGACCTTTTTGGTAGGCCTAAAAAATAAGGTGTAAAAAAAGTGTAACAATCAGGATATAAAAATACAGAAAAGCCAGAGATTCAGCCATAAGAGGTGAGCCGATGTATTCCACGACTTCAGAGGATTGAATACCTATCGGCCTTCTTGGTTACTGAAGATCCAACCCAATCCTGCGAAACTAGAATCTTTCCAAGCCGCATCAATATTATAGGAGATCATATCCGGTGGGTTAACAGTCTAGCCTAAACTTTTGTGTATGAGCATCGACGTTGTGGTAAAAACCTTTTGGAAGCTTTTATCTTTGAAGATTTTTTTATTGCTGGTATTCCAGATTCCCCAGATGATCCAAGGATATAGAGGTCCTGCTCCTATACATGTTGGAGGTAGACACACAAATCTTTTACAGAATTCCAGACCTTGTCTGAAGGAGTTCACCTGGTAAGGTATGAAAACCCCTTTGTAGGGAATATTTTGCCAAATCTGAGTCGAATGGTTGCAAGTAAAGAACAAATGGGTCATTGATTCATCTTTACTACAATAAGGGCAGCTCACCGATGGATTGATGTTGCGATATGTCAGGTTCTCTCCCACATGTAAGGCGTTGGAAATTGCCTCCTAGGGGAGGAGTTTAGTCTTTGAAGAAGTTTTGAGTTTCTAGACATCTGATCTCCATCGAAAATTTCTGAGTTCATCACTTTGTATATATTTTACACGTAAACATTTATGTATTTTTAAACGTAATGAAAATTCTTAATATGGTAATAAAATGTATATAATTTATAATAAAATTAAATTATTTATAAATTTAAATATCATAAGATTAATCCGTGTATAGCATATATTCTTACCTAATTTATCTTGATGTTATTTGTTTCTCTCAAATGTATTTTTGAAAAATTTACAAAAATATCACAAAAAAGAGATTTAATTCCGAAAAGTACCACAAGCTATATATATACCTATTTAGCAGAGTTTTGAGAGAAAAATTCCTTCGGACGGAAGAGTATTTCATGAGCAGAAAGTGGTGATGTGAATCATGATATTTGATAAAGTCAATATTTGCTTAATAATTTTCATTTGTTTCATAAGTTAATAGTGGTAGTGTAACGCCCCGACCGTCTCTACCAGTTGGTTCCACGTCCTCTCTCGAGTTCATGGGTCCACTCCTGTCCCATGACCGGTCTGCTACGTCCGGGAGGCTTTAAAGACTTGTTTATCGACCCTATAAATCACCACATGATCTTTTTATTTGTTTTGTTCTCACTCACACAATTCCGACAATAACTTCCCGGAAGGTCATCCATCCTGAAACTACTCCAGCCCAAGCACACTTAACTATGGAGTTCTCTCAGGACAGTTGACCGAAAAGATAAGTGCACTTTGGTGATATAGGTGGCCAGATCAATTCTTTTAAACCTCTCCGCATGCACCACCATATTCCTGAAACCGGGGTGTTAGAATTCACCCCCACTAACAGATCGCAACGTCCTCGTTGCGCACCAAGACCGTTACCTCTATGGTGTGAGCCTTCTTGACTCCACACTCGTGTTGGTTCGGCTTTGATACCACTTGTAACGTCCCGACCGTCCCTACCAACAACCATCATCATCAATGAATTGTTGTGAAGTTTTTCTTAGGGACTTCCTCTCTAAAAGGACAATCGTTCCCAAACACTCTCTTCTCTCTCCTCTAAAAAGTAGATCTAAATCTAAAAAGTTTCTTGTTACTTTGTTCTTTACCGTCGGTTTCGAGATTGCCTTGAGTGCTCAGGGGTGAGCACGATTCCATCTCCGTCGGCTGTGGTTTGGTGTCTCCTCCTCTCGATGTTGTTGTGGCTCTGATGTGTCGGTAGAGGTGAGCTGCTGCGGTCCTGCTTGGTTTGAGGACGCGGGTATGGGTAGCGGTTTATCCTCGTCGCTCAGCCATCGCGACGGCCGCTGCGGCAACTTAGGAAGTCGTGAGGGGAGAAGGAGGGTTTGAGCCGTTTTGTCGAGTAGGTTAACAGTGGGTCCTAACGGGTCTTACTTGGCTGGCGTGGAGTTCAGTGAATCTCTGCTGGTTTGAGCCTCCGGCGTTTGCAGCCACCGCGTTAAGCTTCCTCTTGGCCGGATTGATGGGATCTTGCTCTGTGAATCAAAAAAGCGTCGGGATTGGGAAGGAGGGGTTATGGCTCAACTTGTCGGCTTGCTAGGTGCGGGAGCTGACAACGGCGGGCCGGATTGTCGGGGAGTTGACCTTACCGGGAGATTTGTGGCGGGTCCGGTGGATCGTCGGAAAAGGGACGTGGCCGGAAATCAGAAGCTTCCGTCAACGTCTCTAGATCCGTCGATTCTGCCGCAAAGTTGTGGATCTTGCTTCTGTCGGTGTTACTGTGTCGGATTCTCCATTTTCCGGTAACCACCAAGCCACGATCTTCTTTTCCGGTGCCGTTTTGCTTTTTCCGTTTGCGTTTTGTACCTGTTGTTACTCTTTGTATATTTCGGTGTTCTTTTGACTGGAACCAAATAACACAACAATTTTTTATTGGAACAAGTTTTAATAATAAACACAACAATTTTTAAGCTCCCAACAACCATCATCATCAATGAATTGTTGTTACAGAAGCTTTAGATTTATTATTATTAATATTTATTTTGTAAAATATATTGAGCTTTAGCAACTAATATAAGGAACATTACAAGCCTCTAAAACTTTGCAAGCGACTAGAGAGATAGTAAACATATTATATATAATGGGTTTTTAATGTAACCACATAAACATGACTTTTGCTCAATCAGTTTGTCACAACAATCTTTAGCCGGTTGTCATCATGTGGCCATTGCCGGTAAGCATGGCATTGTCATCACGACTGTGCCACTTCTGCTTTCATCAAAACAGGAGATGACATGACGATTATCACAAATGTGATGACCATTAGTGTCATTAACTTCATGTTTTGAAAATGTGATGACTCTTTTTTGCTTTTCGTTTTCTCAAAAAATATATATTTGAGATTTGTTTTGAAGGTTTTTAGTATGATAAATGGTTGTAACAGACAAGTCAAATTAGTCTTACCTCTGTAAGAAAAACTCATCTAGTTGGCCATCATGCAAAATAAAGTAAAGGTCCATCTAGTTGACTCATGTTTCACAAGTTCTCACACATGTATTGAGTGTGTAAGTTGCATAGTGATACGTCCGTTACAAGATTTAGAGAATATTGCAAATAGAAACATTATGACTCATAAAAGAGAAACTATCGAATAAACCCAAAATAAAACTAACAAAATTTTATATGGAAACTTCCAAAAATATTCCTATTAAATTTGATATGGTGCAATAAAAGATATTTTATTGTCTTTCTTTTACTTTTCTTTGTTTTTTAATCATTGTTTCTAAAATTTTATTTAATTTTTTGTTTGACTATATACATGTTCGTTTGGTCATTCAGATAGTTAATCTGGATGAAACTGCAAAATGATATTCGGTTTTGTGCATAAATAGGCAACATTCGAGATGATCATCTAAATGAGTTTTTATAATCCAGAAACTCATCTGGATGAACCAAATTGGAGCATTTGGCTGGTGATGGACTGATAGTTCAGTGAAAAATAACAACTGACAGATATACCCTAAATATCCAAATGATCCAGTTGGCTCCAAATTCTAGAAGAGAAACGAACATAACCTGAATGATACTTTTAAAATCTTTTAAAAAGAAACTGAAAATCATATTTTCCCATATGTTTTTCGTCAAAACTATAATATCACGTTTATTATCGCCAAACTCGCTAAGTTCCATTATATTTGTTTGCCAAACTGCAAAATCACATTATCCCACTAAAACCAATGAACTGTATAATTTCATTTTCACACCAATATAATATCCATCAAAAATCACAAAACTGTATTTTATATAAAATTATGTTTTCCGAAAAGGTACGTTAAATATATTTGTATTTCATAAAACTAAAAATTTGAATCTCAATTTATATATATACGACCAAAATCAGTTTATAGTCATTAAACATAATAATTTGAATATATATTTTTTTGAATTACATACTAAGGCCATGCGCAGTGGGGCAAGCGTTCGGGTGTTAGTCGTCGGGTGTAGGTATTAAAAAAAGAAAAAAATTGTCTCTCTCTTCACACTCGGGTGTAAGTTTACACTCGGGTGTAAGACACTCTCTCTCTCTCTCTCTCTTTCTTTCTCTCTCTCTTTTCTCTCTCACTTTAAATTATAATAATAAAAAAAATCTTACACCCCCCCTCACACTTACACCACTGCGGATGGTCTAAGAGGTTCTGGGCCTAAACCCTTACATCCCCTCATGTCGGTGACTAGAGCATTTAATATGATTTCCTCCCAAATGCCACTCGAACCAGCGACCTCTAGAGCTTATGTGAGATACTTTACCAATTGAGTTATTGACACCTAGTAATAATTTGAATATTATTTGGTGTAAATGTACTTTAGACTAAAGACTAAAACATAAGCATATTAGTTGTTTTCTTATTCAAACAAAAGCATTCTTATTGGTTGTTTTGCAAAAACTAACCTAACAAACAAAGGTTTATATGTGTGTGTTTTTGCATAAGCTTGCTATAGACATATCATCATTACGTCCGTTGAAGATGTCAATATAAATTTAAATTTTTTAGAGTTATAATACACATAAAAATAGTTTTGAATCGCCATATGATGATTTTAAATCGTAATTAAAGAGAATTATTGATTTTGGTTAATTATAAAAAAATTTAATAGTTTAGGTAGTATTAGGAAGTTTAAAACAAGCATAGGATGAATTGGGTAGAAATCAAAAATACAGGTTGACAAGAGTTGAAACGCTATAGTATAGTTATAACGCAGCCCATAATTTATTGGGCTGGTTTTGGGCTGCGTTAATAGTTTCTAATAAAAATGTTAAAAAAGTCAAACTGGTTCTTGAATTCTTGCCATTTTTTTTTTTTAAATGTAAAATTGTATCCACCAAAAAAACTGTTTTACAACGAATGCGTCTAGAAGTCAAACTGGTTTTTAGAAAACTAGAAACAAGAAACAATTAAGTGTCACGAGTTTGAAACCAATATTGAAGACCTCCTTCAAAGAGTGTTGAACCCGCCAAAGTGCTTAGCCGGTTTCGAATTTTTTTGTCGATGGATCTAGTCAGGTTAGATACCGTTGTTGGGGCCTCCCCATGACGTCTTCCATTTCGTTCTAACCATACTCCATGAATGGTGGTTTGGAAGGAATATCTTAGCACAAATAAGGGCAAGCGTGGCGAGGAAGGTGCTGTGAGCAACGGTAGTAAGGTGTCCCATCTTGAAGTGAAAACGTATCCAAGAGAGCTAAGTAAGCCAGTAGATAAAGCAGTCCAAACTTGAGAAGAGTAAGGACATGAGAAGAATAGGTGATCTCGTGTCTCTACTCCCTCTTGACAAAAAACACATCCTCCATTTGCCCTACATTCCATTTCACCAATCTGTCCCCTATAGCTAGATTGCCATTTTTCATGCTACTTGTTCAGTACTCGCCCATAGATTATATTATCAAAAGAAACAAAACGTTAAAAATTTCTCCCAGGAATATCAAAATGATGATAACAACTTATCAAACATCACCATCAATCCATCATCATCATCATCACTCACCGGTACGTTTTACTCAAAAGAACTTTTAATTTCTTTTAATGCCCCCTTTAAAATTTGAAGTGCCCAAAATTTTTTGAATCTTGTATTGAAAAATTCTCAGGGTTTGCATTTACATGTGCTTTTAATCATTTGGGTGATTAAAGGATTGAACACAAGTCGGACTGAAAAATCAAGAGGAATCGAGTAATGGCAAATTCCGAATGAAGGTACAAGAAGCTATCATTAACTATATAAGTAGTAGTCATCAATTACTGAGTCTAATTAATGATTATTACAAAAATTAAATAAAAATAATTCTTACTACGGTAAAATTAATAGCACTGTTGTTCTTGATTAGCATGAAAATAAGAACTATTATTTGCCAGTCTTTGTATTGATTAGGTGTTTGTCATGATTATGTGATTAATAATCATTAATAACTTCTTTCCCAAAATAAGAAAACTCTCTCATTATATATCTGATGATTATTAATAACTTCTTTTAGCAATATCTCAAACTTCAACAAGTAGGATAAGGAACACCACACGTTGCTAACGTTTTCTTAGCGTTTGGAGAACCAACATATGGACTATATTTTGGATCTTTAATATATGTACAAAAACACGGCTGTTGCTCCTTCAGTTTCGTGCAACACGTTGTAGACGGTGATGATCCTGTGGTGAATGGTAGTAAGCATGAACCAAGCTCATTAGCATCACATGTTACATTCACTTCTTCTTTAAAATCTTCAACCACTCTTGCTCTGACTGGAACTGGAGATAACATGGCACCTACCACGAACACAATGAACACAAATGCCATGAACTTCATATCTTCAAAACTCTAGCAACTTTTCTCAACTTTCAAATTTTTTTCTTTTTTGAAGTGTGTATTTGAGAAATGAGAATGTGTTTGTGATTTTCAGGATGGTAGAACTGCTGTTATATATAGATGTAGTTGTAACCTACAAGTTCTTAAGTCTTGTCTCATTCATTACTAAACGCTCATACATTTGGCAATCATGCATAGGACGTGAAAAATAATGATTTACAAATGTTCACATGTCAAGTATGTGTACGTCCGTTAAAGTATATGTAATTTCTTGAAACTCCTATTATAGGCTACCTTTAATAATAAATATCAAATGGATTTATAGAAAAAGTTAAAAAAAATATTAATTTATTGGGCCGTTTCTTTGTTTGAAAAATCGCTAGGCGCTAGTCGGGCGCTAGGTATGGGCCTAGCGATTAATCGGAAAATTGGATTAAAATCGGAGATTAATCGGGGATTAGTTTTAGAATTATTTTAATATTTTTAAAACATATTAATCAAATATTGTTTTCAAAATTGCAGTAAACACATAAAACTGTATTTTTGAGATAAATTTTTATGATTTTTATTACAAATTTATGATTTTTATTAAAATTTGAACATAAGTTATTGTAAAACATCACAAACTCCCAATTTAAATGATTGAATAACAAAATTAAAAAGTTTTTTATACTTGCAATCTAAAAATAATCGAGATATGTAAAATTAGGCGAAGAGTAATCGGATTAGGCGGAAAGTAATCGGATTAGGCGGAGAGTAATCGGGTAACTGATTTTTTTAGGGGATTAGTCATTAATCGAGGCGGATAGGGTGGGCCTAGCGATTAAGCGGGGAGTAATCGGGCCTAGGCGGGGATTTTTAGAACGGGGGCCGTTTATGGGGTACGTTAATAATTAATATTAAGTGGGCTTATAAAAGAAAAAGTAGAAAAGTTAAAAAAAATGTCTGAGCCCGGGTTCGAACCGGGGACCTCTAGTGTGTGAGACTAGCGTGATAACCGACTACACCACCCAGACAATTTGTTAATGTTTTGAGATTCTTAAATATATTTGAATGTTTTGTGATTCTTGCCAATATTCATGCTACTTGTTTAGTCCTCGTCCTCAGATTATATTCCCAGAAAGAAACAAAACGTCTTTAATTTCTCCCAGGAATATCAAAATGATGATAACAACTTATCAAGCACCATCATCATCATCATCATCACTCACCGGTCGTTTCCTTCTTACTCACCGGTACGTTTACGCTTGTGTTGAAAAAACTGTGTTTGTTTTTATATGTGTTAAAGAGGAATCGAGCGATGGCAAATTCCGACATGAAGGTACCAATCGTTAAGGTAGAACCAAAATCGTTTAAACTGGACTTTGTGTTTTTTTTTTTTTTTTTTAAAACTTGAGATTGATGATGATTCTTTTTTTTTTGTGTGGTTAATTTCTGTAATCAGTCGTCTTTAGTTGTGGAGGCTATGCACATGTCAAGAAAGAAACTTGGTGTGTACAATGAGAGCAGAGGAGATTCAGAGACTGCAAAAGCTAGAGCAGAAGCGGGATTGTTCGAGGTAAAGAAGTCGGTGGAGGAGCTCGCATTACTTATAGAGATGTCGAATCGTAGTCCGGAGTTAAAGAAAAAAGATATTGAAGTGTCGAAGATCGAAGAGAAGTACGCGGAAGTTATGAGAGTTTTGGAGGCTGTGAAAGAAGAAGTGAGTGAAGTGAAGCTTAATGTAGCATCTGTTTTGGGAGAGAGAATTGCAGCGGAGAAAGAAGTCGAAGAATTGCGGTTTAAGACGGAAGGGAATTTGAAATTGTTGGAGAGTCTTAAGAAGGAAATCGAGGTTGCGAATGAGGAGCATTTGATGGCTGCATTGGGAAAGATTGAGGCGTTGAAGGGATATAAAGAGATAGAAAGGCAGAGAAAAAGGAGAGCTATAGAGGTTTTGGATTTGTTGGTGGAAAGAAATAAGAGAATCAAGAAAATGTTGGACGAGGCGGAAAGATTGAAGGATATTGAGAATGAGTTGTTTGAGACGAATTCGGATGTTGAGATGTTGGAAATACAGTTAAAGCTTTTCAAGAAAATGGAGAGGAGAGTTCAGGGGAGAGGCAATAGCATGTCGAGATCAAACCGGTCTTTTGGAAGAGGGAAGTATAGTTTATCGGTGTTGAAAGAAGTGACTGAAGCGACTGAAGCGAGAAAGGAGGAACTTGCTTCTGTTAATGTAGAAATCTATAGGATCATGACGGTAATGGACGCGTTGAGGAATGAGATTATCCGAGCCAAAGATGAAACAGCTTGCCTAGAAAAACTCTTAAGGAAAGATGATGTTAAGATTCAGAAACTTAACTCAAATATGCTTATCGAAAGATCGAAGTTGGAAGCGGTATCTATAGCCGAAGAAAGAATTAGTTCTCTTGCTGACAATTTAGTTGGTTCGCTTGAGAAGTTAAAGAAAAGTAAAAAAGCTGCAAAGAAAGAAGAGTTCCTTCTCAAAGAAGAGAAGACGGTTACAAAGGCGGAAACACAGAAAACCAAAATCGAAATAGATAAAAAAGAAAGAGAACTGATTTCAAAGTTGGATGAGCTTGAAAAAGTGAAGCATACTGAGGCTTTAGTGCTTGAGAAGCTTGAGACTCTAGTAGAAGACACGATGGAGAGCCGCGAAATGGAGTCTGAACATTGTTCAACAATAACAATCTCGAGGTTTGAGTACGAGTATTTGAGTAAACATGCTTATCAAGCAGAAGAAACCGCAGAGAAGAAAGTTGCAGCAGCAGAGGCGTGGGTGGAAGCACTCAAGGCTAGCACCAAATCGGTTCTGATGAAGTCGGATACTTTGATGAGAGAAAGTGAAATGATGAGAGTGGAAGAAGAGAAAGAATTGTTTAGGATGGAAAGGTCATTGGCGACGAAGAGATTGGTGGAGGGCGAGATTCAGAAGTTTAAGCAGAACTCGGAAGCCGAAGGCTATATTTCTCCCAAAGCAGTTGAAAAATTCACACCGGTACAACGTGGGAAGCCAAGAAGATATTCATCTGCAGGGACTCCAACTTTCTTTGTAATCAAGAAGAAAAAGAAAGTTCCACGCTTGGCTAAGTTTTTTAGTCGGAAAAGTTAAAATCTCTAATCAATTTGAGTTTTGAGACCAATGAGAAGTGTTAGAATCTCTAAGAAGTTTAAATTCTATGAAATGGTTCACATTCTTGTTCTTGTTCATTGTTGTACATGATCATATTATACATGGCGTAGACTCATTCTAGCGGTACAAAAGATAGGTAACCATTGTTTTGATTGGCTTCCAACATTCATTTGTATGTTGCTGATCTTGATGAAGACACTAGGTCTGTTCTGCCATGAAATTATGAGTTTCTATATGTAATTTTGGTTCTAGTTGTGCTTTTTTCAGTGAGAGGATACTATGTAGCTGAATGATAGATTACAATCTGAATCATAAAGAACAACAAGATCTAGTAGGTTGGTCACTGTTCTCTATAGTCTGTTTATGTGAAAGTTGGTGATTACATACTTGTTGGTGTCTAACTTATACCATAATCAAGAAATAGGATATATTCATTTTTACTTATGCCATTACATTTCTATCATTTGTGGAAGTGAGGAGTTACCAAAATCAGAACTCATAAACTTGATTTGGCTTTGATCTAGTTCAGCTTTACTTGTGTGAACCCTTACATTGATGATTAGATCACATAGTGTCTTAGTGTGAGGATTGGTTGTGGCATATTGTTATCTTTGGCTTCTTGAAATTACATTTTAGACTTAGTTTAGTCATCCGGTTTATTCTACACAGCGCGTGGCATTCACGGAAAAGTTCTGCGAATGGTTCTTTGGTATGTACGCCTCACGAGCCCCACGAGGTATATCCTTACTAACGTGTGAGTATTTAATGTTTTCCTCTTTATTCCAGAAAAGGTTGTTCACCATTTTATAAGGAATCTCTTACTCATTGGTACACTCTTAATGACTATTAATACGTTATGATTCTAGCTAGCTCCATATATAGACACCCTTGTTCTTGCCAACCTCTTACATCTTCAAAGAATTTTCATCATCTATTGTAGAAATATAACATGAGGAGGCCAAAGTCATCTCGCATCAGGATGCAACCTGTTCGGTCTAATCATCCTCCGCCGAGCAAGGTAAATACATTCAGTTCTTGTTCTGTGTTATTGGCTTGAAGTCTTTTGATGTATCGTATCTTTAACCTTTTGGTCTGAACAGAAGGAGGGGGCCTCTTCATTGGAAACAGCTCTGAACGTTTTTTGGAACAATCAAAGGGAGCAACTAGGAAACTTTGCAGGTGACTGATATTTAGAGATGTTTAGAGTACCTACACTGACACCTAAATGCTTGTCGATTACGTAATTCTTCTACTTGTTTTGGTTACCTACAGATCAAACTTATTTGCCGCTATCTAGGGTCAGAAAGATTTTGAAATCCAATCCTGAAGTCCAGGTATGGGATGTTACCTTGAGCTTATGTTGGCTGGTCTAGAGTTTCGGAATCTTTTATTGTTATTTCTAAGGATGATATTGATACTTTATAGGCAAGATATATGTAACATCAAAATGTTTGGTATTACAAATTTTCCTAAGATAATATGTGAATTTTCAGAAGATAAGCTGTGATGTTCCTGCCTTGTTTTCGAAAGCTTGTGAATACTTCATTCTAGAGGTAACATTACGAGCATGGATGAATACTCAATCATGCACTCGTCAGACCATCCGGCGTTGTGATATCTTCCAGGCCGTAGAGAACTCAGGAACTTATGATTTCCTGATTGATCGTGTTCCTTTTGGACCGCACTGTGTCGTCCATCAGGTTAGCTTTGTTCTCCTTCGCAATCTTGCTTGGTGAAATCAACATTTTTTGTTCTTATTATGTGCTAAATTGTTCTGGTCAGGGTGTGCCACCTCCTGCTGAAATGATTTTGCCGGACATGAATGTTCCAATCGATATGGACGAGACTGAGCAGGTGATTAGTTTACTTATTGTAATCGGTATTACCTAAAACAAAACAGTTTGATGCGATGCTAAGTTAGAATTCATGTTTGTTTATTGCATTTGCACCAAAACCAGGAGAATCTGACTGAAGAGTGCTCTATCAATAATAGAGGGTTTGACCTCAACTCTGATCTCCAGGTAGTTTTCTTTGAACTTCTATTCTTGCAATCATTGTAGATTGTTATGCACTAAGATGACTATATAGGCAATATATTGTTAAAGAACCCATTTAGAAAAGAACACACATTGTAGCTTCAATATTACATCAATCCATGAGCCATTTGCAGTATTTGGTTCAGTGAAGGATTTCAATTTGAGCTTTTGTTGTTTTTGGAGTTGTTAGTTGATACTTTTGGTTAGCTATTGCAGAGTATATAAACTAAGAAAGCATTTGGTTGTTTTTGTTGCTTAACATTTGATTTTCTCTGCTATGGATTTTTACTTGTGGCTATGGATTCAGCAGTAAACATGAAGCTGGTCAGGAAGATAAACTTAGTTGAAAAAAAGAGAAGAAGTCTGAAGAGGAATCAGGCAGCACTATGGTCACCATATAGTAATGCAGAAAAGAAAGAAAGAAATAAATTCTATGATAGTTTATAATAAGTTGAATCACTAAACTATGGGTTATATCAATTGTTCCTTAATGATAATATAATGTTTAATATGTTAAAAAAATTAATTTTATATATATAGTTGTTTCTTTGAGTTTGTTTATTATATTAAACATATTACTAGATAACAACCCGCACGATGTGCGGGATGAAGTGATTCAAGTAAAATTATTATGATTAAAATTATTATTCGGGATCCAAAATCCGTTTGTGTAAAACGAAACATGTTACAATTTTTTTTTTGTTTTATTCAAATTTGGGACTATTTCATATAAGAATATGTTTTACCCGTGAAATATTTGAACCTTGAATAAAGCTTCAACGTGATAAAAAAGTATTGACGAAATGTTACCATTTATGGCAATATGTCTTTCCATATGTTTTAAAGATTTCGAGATTTTGTAGTATAAAAAGAATTTTTTTTTTTTAATAAGTATAAGAAATCCAAAATTTAGCAAAGATGAGATTTGATAGTTTGCAAGCTAAGATTTTGTAGTGTTCCAAATCTAAGATTCTTAGATTATGAATGGATTATTTACGAAATGGTTATAATGTGGCCAGATTTTGGTTTATATACAAATGTGGTTATAATGTTTTTCTTCGAAAAGTTAGAACTCCTCCAAAAAATAGGATTTTAAGTATTCGTAACATATATAGAAAGGAAATTATCTTATTTATTTAAGTAAAATTTTTATGAAAGATGTAAAGATTTTGTAGTTTTGAATTCGAGATTCTTGAACCAAATGTATATATTTTATCATTTAAATATAAACATACATATAAATATAAATATAAATAAAAAAAATTGTTTACCTATCCGCTAAAATTTTTTTATATAAATGTATATAAAGAAAAATATAAATATAAAAATATAGTAATATAAGATAATCAAAAAGCGTATGTTTTTAATTATTAATGGGATATATGGATGTATGAGACTAATGGCAAATTCTGTAAATAGTCTAATAAATTTTGGGTAATTATCTAAATAGAAGCCAAATCATTGTGAGAGCGACACATCAGCGTGGCAATCTTGTTAATAACACATGATGGTAAGGTTTTTTTAAAAAAATGTTTCTCTATTAATATATAAGGGATGTTATTTTGATAAACCAAGAACATGAACCAAAAAAACAAAAAAACAATTAAAGATGATTTTAAAATATCTTTGATCTACTACCGAATTTTTTCCTTAAAGTAGCCCACGTATTTATAACGACGACGAAATCATTAGTTGTTTACAAGCTTTCGCATGTAAAATACGTTGTCCTCCAAAGTTACGCCATTTCATTTGGAAAATCCTCTCTGGTTGTGTTTCGGTTACGTATTGGAGAAAGCAGGGTATAAATTGTGATACTTACTGTGCTAGATGTGGTGTAGATGAAGAAACAATAAACCATGTCCTATTTGAGTGTCTCCCTGCTTTACAAACTTCGGCTTTGTGGCAAATTCCTTCGGCTCCATTAAATTTTCCTTCATCATCGCTATATGCAAATATAAAAAAAAAAAAAATTCGAGGCTACCTAAAGATTTTCCACCTTCAGATTTCTTGTGGATAATATGGTATATCAGGAAAGCCCGAAATTAAAAGATTTTTAAAAATGTTGACAGGGATCCACTTGATGTCTTAAAACTAGCAAACGATGAAGCTCATGCATGGACCTTACCCCAGGAAGAGGAATCAAGAGAGTATATTAGCCCTGAGGTGCTAGCTACACATAGTGTAGATTTTACAGGTTATTGATGCTTCATTGACGGATCGTGGAAAGGAAGCGAAGTGTTCTCATAAGTGTGATGGTTTTGTTCTACTATTAATGACGAGACGCCATTTATGGGAGCATGTAATATTCGCTGTAGTCTATCCCAATTGCATACATAAGTAGAAGCTCTAGTATGGGTGATGAGGTGCCTAATTATCAAGCATAAGAGAGAAGTCTCTTTTGTTACAAATTGATCAGAATAGGTGAAGATGATGATTTCTCCAACTGAATGACCAGATTTTTCAACATATTTGAAAGAAATTGAAGAAATAAAGGAAGGTTTTTCAACTTTTTCTATTTCTCTCATTTCTAGAAAATTTGCATGCGTCGCTGGTGTAAAACTGCAATATGTATTGTATGTAAACAATAACTTTTCTTTCGATTGGCTCATTGGATCCAATCTTTTAATAAGTTGTTGACAAAAAAAATGTTTACGATAATATGTTTGTTCTTGTAAGCATGGACGGTGCCGGTGCGTTTGGAACTATCGATCTAAATCATTAGAGTAAACGACACTTCGTCATATAACATCAAAAGTTCACATATATCACATGTTCTTGTTCTTTTTCTTTTTTTAATATTATATCATAACATAAATTTTCACATATTCGCATGTCCTCAAGAACAAATACTAAAACTTTTAACGATAAAATATACTATAAATATATTTTATTCATCGTAAAGGTGGAACTTGGAGGCACCGAGTTTTAAAGATATTGTTTCGAGTTTTTCTATATGCTTCTATTTGATCTGATTTATTTCTGATTCAAAATGAGAGAAGTAATCGTGATTTCTTCAAGCATAGTGCGACCCGAAAACATAAACCGATCGGGTCGTCGTGAAAAGATCCATCTAACTCCACATGATCTTGATCTTCTTTATCTTTATTATCCTCAAAGAGGTCTTCTCTTCCACAAACCGGACCCGGAAAACCGTTTCATTCCTCAATTAATGGCTTCTCTTTCGACTGCCTTAGAGATTTATTTCCCGTTTGCTGGTCGTCTCGTCAAAGTAAACAATCAAGAAGATGATACGGTGTCGTTTTACATCGACTGTGATGGTTCGGGTGCCAAATTCGTCCACGCGAAAGCCGAATCTATCACCATGAATGATGTCTTTCAATCTCATGGTTCTGTTCCTGATTTCATGCCGCAATTTTTCCCAGCGAACAATGTCCAAAGCCGTGATGCCCTAGTCTCGGAGCCCTTGCTTGCATTACAAGTCACCGAGATGAAAGATGGAGTGTTCATTAGTTTTGGTTACAACCACATGGTGGCCGATGGTTCTTCCTTATGGAATTTCTTCCACACTTGGTCCAAGATTTGTCTGAATGGTTCGGATTCTAATATTCAGCCTCTTGTTCTCAAAGATTGGTTCTGTGAAGGGATCGATTACCCGGTACATATTCCGGTTTTAGAGATGGAGACGCTACCACGTTGTGAACCTTCAACTAAAGAGAGAGTTTTTCACTTCTCAAAGAAGAAAATTTCAGATCTCAAAGCGAAAGCCAACTACGAAATTGGCACCATGGATGTGAAAATATCGTCGCTTCAAGCGGTTGTGGCATATCTATGGCTATCAATCATCAGACACAGTGGTCTAAACCGAGACGAAGAAACGCAATGCAAAGTAGCGGCGGATATGAGACAGAGGCTAAACCCTCCTCTCAAGAAAGAGTGTTTTGGGAATGTAACCAATCTCGCAACGGCTACAACCACTGTGGGAGAGCTGTTGGATCGCGGGCTAGGCAAGACTGCTTTGCAAATATGTAAAACGGTGAGGTTAAAAACGAATGAGAGTTATGAAAATATTGCAAAGAATTGGGTTAGAAATGTTAAGAGGCCAAAAACATCAGTTGGAAGTAGATTGGCTAACAATTCTTTGATCGTCGCAAGCTCCCCACGGTTTGATGTGTACGATCATGATTTCGGTTGGGGAAAACCAATCGCGGCTCGAGCTGGACCGGCTGATGGTACTGGTGGTATGCTTGTAATGTTTCGGGGAGTTGAAGAGGGGAGTATTGATGTTCATGCGACCTTAAATTCTTCTTTGTGGTCTGATGTACTAGTGAACCTATTGATAAATGATATGGTTGGTCAATAAATAAATCTTGTTAATCATATGAACAAGTGATAGTTGGATCAATTGGAGGCGGGAAAAGTTTAATTAATTTTGGTTTAACATTGAGTTATTGTTGTGTAAAGGACCACATATTGAGCCCTACTAAATAAAAACATTTTGACAAGCATAAAAAAAAAGGACATTTTGACAAGCATTTGACGAAGAAATATTTTCCCAAACAATTTTTTTATCAGTGACGACAAAAGAAGAAAGTGATGTTGGAAAATATTTTTTTTGTCATGTTTATTCAAATATTAAAAAACCTCAAATAAAAACGTGAATGAAAATGACCATAGTTAAAGTTTAATTGATCAATTCAATTATTAAAAGTATTGAACATTGGATGGAATATATTAGTTGATAATTCGAAGCTATGTTTTGTATTATGACAGTAATTAGTAAGTTATTGACATTTTTCCTAAAGATGCATATACATAAAAGTTTAATAGAAGGATAATATCTTATTGGACCAATATGATGATACAAAGGTCACACTGTCCAACGATTCAAACATCGGTCAATAAGTTCACTAGTACATCGGACCACATGGATAAGGGTATGGTCGCATTAACATCAATACTGCCTTCTTCAAGACCCCTAAAAACTACGAGTGAGATACCGATACCATTGCCCGGTTCAGCTCGAACCGCAATTGGTTTTCCCCAACCGAAATCGTTGTCGTACACTTCAAACCATGGAGAGCTTGTGGCAATCAAATAAGTATCAGCCTTTATACTAATTCCACCATTTATTTTTGGGAACTTCACATTTCTAACCCAATTCTCCGCAAAAGCCTTGTAATTTTCATTCGTTAGTGTTTTCACCTGTTTATTAATTTGCAAAGCGGCCCAACCTAGCCCATGATCCAAGATCTCTCCCACCTTGGCTGTTGCAATCGCTTGATGAGTC